CAAGGATTTCATTCTACTTGGATCCACAATCAACACTCATGGAAGCAGCAGTCAGGAAATAAACAACACGTTGCATTGGGCAAATCTGCTGCAAAAGACCTCTTTAAACTGTCGAAAAGCAAAGACGTCACCTTGAACTCTAAAGTGCGTCTGACCCAAGCCATTGTGTTTTCAATCTCCTCATATGCATGTGAAAGCTGGATGATGAATAAGGAAGACCAAAGAAGAATTGATGCCTTTGAATTGTGGTGTTGGTGAAGAATATTGAACATACCATGGACTGCCAAAAGAACAAACAAATCTGTGTTGGAAGAAGTGTGACCAGAATGCTCCTTGGAAGGAAGGATAGCGAGATTATGTCTAACATACTTTGGACATGTTGTCAAGAAGGATCAATCCCTGGAGAAGGACATCATGTTTGGTAAAGGAGAGGGTCAGCGAAAAAGAGGAAGACCCTCAACAAGATGGATTGACACAGTGGCTGCAACAATGGGCTCAAGCATAACAACTATTGTGAGCATGGCGCTGGACCAGGCAGTGTTTCGTTCTGTTGTATATAGGGTCACTGTGAGTCAGAATCAACTGGATGGCACCTAACAACAACAACTGTCTCCACTGCAACACTGTTGACCGCCAATTCATGTCCTTCCCTTGCCTCTTCAGAGATACGTTCTAACAGCTCTCCCTCTCCACTCTTAGCTCTTCTCTCTTCTCTTGAACCTTTAAAATGTGGCTTCGCCAACATTTCTCTTAGCCTTCTTCTCTCTCCCTGTCCACCCTCTACCTCTTGATTTCTCGACCACTCTCACAGCATCAGCAACAGCTTTTGTGTGAATGAACCCATCTAAAATCTCTCCCTTTCCATAACTCAGAATCACTCAAACCTGCTTTCTAATGTAAATGCCATGAAATCAGACTTTGACTGTTTTATTCAGTTCTGTATCCCCTGTACCTAAAACAAGAATGGTTGAGAAATATCTCCCTCTAGAATCACATTCTCAACTTCCTGTTGAGGACCAGAGGCGGAGAGAGAATCTAGGTCAAGAAGAACTTGAATGTTTTGTTTCATCACACAAGAGAACTCTAAGACCAATCCATTTCTCTTTTTGCTTGGTAGCTGTCAATAAAGAATGATCACCTACTTTGTTTACATGCCTGTATCTGCCATTAGATTGTGGTATCTTTGTGTCTGACATTGAGTAGGTATTCCATCAATGTTTGGGGAACACCTAGTATGTGCCTAACATAGAGCTAGGAACCTATGGGGAATGTGGTGGTGGGTGGTTGAATAAAAGATGAATAAGACATAGTCCATGCCCTGAAGATGTATTTAATATCCACCACCACTTTCCTAGGTGATGATATCAGCTCAGACGGAGTAACCGGAAGAGACAGCAAATATTCTCTGGCTTCATGTTTCCCAAATTTCCCCACTAAAGTATGCCAAACAGCAGGAAAGCTGAGTAAACATGCTCCCCCAGGAATCTGAGAACCAAGTCTGAACCACTGCCACAGCCAAGCACGAAATGTCTTTGATGTCTCAAATTTTATCGTAAAAAATTCATGTACATATTGCATTCTATTTCATAATATATTCATGATTTTAATATGAAATTTTAAAAATTACCTAACTTTCCTCTCATTCCAAATCTTCAAGTAAAATTGATGCTCCAGGCTGGGTACCCCCTAGAATTCACAAAGTCCATTTTCAGAAATGTGGACCTGGTCCCAACCTCTCATTTCATAAATGAGGAAGCAGAGAGGTGAAGTGACTTGCTCAAAACAACATGACTAGAGGTAAGGCCAGCACCAGAGCCCAGGAGACCTTTTTCAAATCCAGGGCTCTTTCCATCCATTCATTCATTCATGAATGCATGCATACATACAATACATATTTATGGAGAACCTGCTAGATCTCAGGCATCAGACTGCAAGTGGAGAGTGGGGTAGACATGGTCCCTCTCTCTTCATGTCAGTTTACAATGGTTCTTTACCTAAAATGTGTGCTTGCGGTACCTTCCAGAGTTGGGGGACTCCAATATTCTTCAAGAGAGAGATGAACAAACATGTCTCACCATTCTCTTTCAGAGTATAAACTAGTCTAAGACTGTAGTGAAATTCAGGAAAGTAGGCTCCCATATTTGGGGTTGGAATCATTCTGCTAACATGAAACCAATGGCCACAAACTCCTTACAATGTCCCAGAAGATCCTCAATGATCTGGCCCCTGCCCACCTCTCTAATCTCATCTTCTACCACAGCCTTCTTGCTCACCAGGCTTCATTCCCCTAGTCTTTCAGTTCACTCTGAATGATTTCCCACCTCTGGGCCTTCAGTTCCTCTGCCTGGAAAGCTCTCCCTGCCTAGCCCACATTCTTAGTATGGCCAACTATTTCTTACCTCCTCAGACAGGTCTCCTTAATCTATACTCCTCCTCAAATCTTCCCTATCACAGCATTGTATTCGTTTCCTTTCTAACACATTCTATAGGTTTTATCACATGTGTTTGTGTTGTTGAGTGCAACAATGACCTTATTCTTCATCCTTCCTTGTATCCACGTCATTTGCCACATGACTTTGCAATTTCTCTCACTAAAGAGATGGAGACCATTTCCCCACCCCTTAAATCTAGACTGCCTCTGTGACTTTTTTGGCCAATAAAATGAGATGGAAGAGACATGTTCTAAGCCTAGACCTCAAGAAGCCTTATGTGTTTCCACTTGCTCCCTTGCAATTCTGCCGTTGCCATGGAATTATGACCAGACCAGCCTGTTGGAGGATGACAGACACGTGAAACACGATAGAATCATCTCACTCATCTCAGTCTAGGCCACTGTAGATCAACCAGCAGGAGCCAACCCACAGACATGTGAGTGAGCCCAGCCCACATCAACAGAGCCTTCTAGATGACGCTATATGCACGCGCAAGAAACACTTGTTGTATGCCATTGTGATTTCATGATTTTTTTGTTATACAGCAGCAGCTAACTGGTACAGTTTGCTGAATTATCTGTTGTAGGTCCTAGACTATAAGCTCCACAAGGACAGGGACCATGTCTGTTTTATTCACCAATGCCTGGCATGTAGTAGGTGCTCAATAAATGTGCTCAATGAATGAGTCTTCCAGCTGTGCGAGGCTGGTCTTTTGCTCACTTTCTTGTTCTACCTCCATACATAGTTTTATGGAGTAAGCCTAACTTCGAGAATGACTCTCCGGGTCTCCCAAGATTAAAGTTTGTACTGTCCTCTCCCTCCACCCCTGGCCATAGGGATAGCCCTGGGCTATAGCTGCAGAAGAGGGAAGCACCAGCATCTAGGAAACATCCAAGAGAGTATTATCTTTGAGTTTGACTCATTTTGAAAATGTCACAGATGTCTACCATTCCTCTTCCTAAGAATGAAGATATCAGTGCCTTTGTTCTTGAGTCTAAAAGTTGCTCCTCAGAGGGCCATTTAACTTGACTACTCTGGAGGTCTCAGGCCTGAGTCCTTCATTCCTACCAGCCATTTATTCCCCCAGCATGTATAAGGGGGAAGGGAGGCAAGATGGAAGGAGAGAGCCCACCAACCCTCAAGTAAATGTGACTGAAAACAAGCTCAACAGGAGAAATGTCTTAGCAGGTGTAACAGGGGAGATCAGAGAAAGCCCAACAACAAGGAAGCCCTGCATCTAGCCCCTTGGAGGGATCTCAAAGACATTTTAGAAGCAGAGTCTAAATTGGAAGCATGGAATGAAGAGCTTCATAAAATTATTCTAAACAAACTTGCCTAAAAGAGCAATACCTTGAGGCTGAGGAGACGCCTTCACTTTAATTTCCCCAAATCAAATGCTGGTACACAAACCTGCCTGTTTCCCCATTATTCTCACTACAAGAACTCCCTAAGGTAAGATAGGCTGTCACACAGCAACCAAGCCAGGTGACACCCCCTCCCCATCATTGACCAACCCCATCCCTTAGTGAGTTGAAGTGGGAGAACCAGCTCTAGTTGCTATGGTATTGGGAAGATGACTCAATACAGGATGTCAGGGGAATATAGGATGAATCTGATGACTTCACTGCCCCACTAGTGGGGAGTGGGGAATGGACTCCCCAAGACTCTGACCCTACCTTTCTTTGTTTGCCTCTACCATGTGCCTCCCCCCACCCCTGGGATTGTAGATTTATTTAGGAGGCAGCTCCCTTTTGAGTTGGCTCCTACGATCCAGCTTGCTCATGACCTGGGTGATGTCCACGGTGTTGGCTGCTTCTCGCGCCCTGGCTTCTTCTTCCAGCTGCCTCAGGATGACGGGGCTTGGGCTGGAGCGGAGGTGGCGCCGCATAAATGGGAGGCTCGAGCTGGAACGAAGGACAAGATTGGCGGTTGGCAGAAAGCTACCCTGCCTGCCCAACAATGACTCAGTGACTCCTGTGGAGGGTGAGGCTAGAAGGCCAGACCTGGAATTGTTCCCCTCATTCTCCAGGAGAACCTCAAGTAGGGTCCTCAGACAGTGTTTAACCTTAGCTTTTTCCCCCTTTGGAGAATGGGACCAGAGTAAGTACCAACTGCCTTCAGATTTTCGATTAGGCTAGGTAGAAGTCCCTGAGAGGTGCAAACGGCTAATGGCCTCAGTCATCTGCTAATCAAAAGGTTGGAAGTTAAGTCCACCTAGAGACACCTCAGAAGAAAGGCCTAGCAATCTACTTCTGAAAAATCTGCCATTGAAAACCTTATGGAGCACAGTTCTACTCTGACACACATGAGGTCTCCATGAGTCGGAATCAACTCAACAGCAGCTGGATACTGGTAGGTTAGATAAGAGTCTTCTGGTATGAAGATTATAGACACACCGTCTGGAGTATTTAGAAATCAACTTGGTACCTTAACTTCCTGTAGGCTCTTCACAGACAAAGGGGGTGAGGAGGAACTGGGTACTGGAAGCCTAGGGTTCTTACCTCAGGGGAGAGTTGGAGCTTTTGTTTCCAAGGCTCCAGAAGGAAGAAAAGTCTGTCCAACAGGGCTAGGCCCCAACAGGCAGCGAAAGAAGGAAGGGGCCTGAGGAGGGATGGTGAGGTGGACTTGTAACCCACTCACACACAGTACCCTGGATGGGGGCAGAACCTCTGGCTGGAAACAAACATAGATTCCTGGGACCAATTTCTCTCTACCACGGCCTTGGGAGCCAGGGCCAAGCTCCAGGTGTCTGAGTTCTGCAGGGGCTATGAGCAGCAGAGCCCCCCCACCTTTGAGGGTCCCCATAGGCTTGAAAAATAAGCAGCAACGGCAGACTGAATACCCTGGACAGATACCAAATTTCCAGACTACATGAGCCCCCTAGAACTCTTGTATCTCCCCGAGGGAGGAGAAGGGCTCCCTCCCACCAGTAATGCCTGGTATTGGGTCTCTCACCAACCCCACCAAGGGGGAAGCTTGGAGCTAGATTTAACTTGTCCTGAAAAATTCAGTTTTACACCTTGTCTTACCCCTGATGGTCAAGGAACAGACTCCCATCCACTGCAACCCCCACAGATATGCTTTCTGAGCTTCACACTTCACAAAAACACAACGTTACCAGACTGCAATACCCCACACCAAAGCTGAGCATTCCTCCAGAGGTCCCATGCCACCCCGGCCACTCAAAGCACCTGGTGTGCCCTGGGAAAGATCCCAGCTGAGTCCTCATGTCTGTCCCAGCTTAGAATCATCTGAAGAGAGAAGCAGGAGACTCCTCTTCCCTCCCCACTACTTTCTGGCAGAACGTCTGGAGCTATTAGGATGGTTTCTTGTGGCTTAAGGGAGACGCTTTCAAGTCTCCAGTGACATTGAACTCCCGTCCTTCACATAAACCTAGTAGAACAGCACCACAAAGGCCTCCTTTCTGCCCTTTTCATAACAGAACCATTATGCTCAAGAATGAAACCAAGTTGGGTTTTTTTTTTTTTTTTTTTTTTAAGCTCCTTTGATAAAGGCTCTGGCCCAACCACCCCACCCCCTTTTGAATTGACTGAAGACGCTGGAAAAGAGCCCAGGGTGGGCTGAGCTGGCAAACAGGGGAACATTTACCAACCATGGGAGGACAGGACAGGCAGCCGATGCCATGAAAACCTCTGCCAGACTCCCCGGCTTTGTTCAAACTGTCGTTTGGTTACCCTTTTGAATCTTCAATTCCTATGGAGTTTTTGGTTGGTTGGTTTGTGTTTGTTTTTTCCCCAAAAGAGTTCAAACTGCCCCTCGGAACATTATTTCATCCACAGTCCCAGTGGTTCTGCAAGGCGAGATGACCCACATCTCCAGGGAGGAAAGTGAGACTGGGCAAGTTAGCAGGCTTCTCAATGGCAATCCCCAGAGGCAGCAAGAATACCTGGGCCGTTACTACTGTTCATTTCCCCTAATAGTCTAGCATTTTCTTTTGGAGTGCCATCTACTATTCTCCCTAAGGTCTTGGGACATTACAAGGATTCCAGAATGAAGCTAAATCAAGTTCCATCTATCTGTTGGAAGCAGACAAGGGTAGCAATTAAACAGTCAGTGAGATGCTTGCATTTGTGATAAGGGTCATTTATCAGTCTGATTGTGAAAACGCTTTCAAATCAGCATTAGGGAAACAAAAGTTATTGGCAGTAATTACTGGGGAAATCTTGCTAGAGTGATTTCAGGGCATTATGAAGCAAATGAGGCAATCTTTCCCTAAGCAAGCAATACTTCCCAGGCCCCAATATTTCCATCAAGCCAATATCTCAATCATGGTCATTTGGTTGAAAGAGACCTTTCCTCTTCTGTAAACTAAACAGTGGGTAACCAGTGATTACGGACAATTCCACTTGCCTTTTCTTGGTGGTTTCCTGAGGCTCAATAGCCTTGGCCAGCATTTCCTTATAGATTGGAGATTTTAAGTAGCGAGCATAAGAATCCTAGTGGGAAGAAAAGAAAAAACAGCACTTATGAGAGGGAAAGTGTCAAATCAAAGGAATATGCTCGCTCCGTTGTCAAGCTCTCCCCCAGGCAATAAGGTGGCAATGTTAAAATAGCTCCTGTGTGAAAGGCATTTCTATTAGACAGTGTCTAGAACAGCAGCTCTCAAGTGTGGCCTCTGGACCAGGAGCGTTCATTTCACCTGGCAGCTTCTTATAAATGCACATTCTCAGGGCCCACTGCAGACCTGCTGAATCCAAAACTCTAGGGATAGAATTGCTGGGTGGCGCGGACAGTTAAAGGCTCAGCTGCCAACTGAAAGGTTGGTGGTTCAAGTCCACCCAGAGATGCCTATGAAGAAAGGCCTGGCTGTAATGTGGACTCAAACATACCAACAGTCATGAAGATGGCAAGCGTTGGCAACGTTTCGTTCTGTTGTATGTGGGGTCGCCACGAGTCGGAGTCGACTCAGTGGCAAATAACAACAACCAAACCAAAAACCCATCGTTGTCGAGTCGATTCCAACTCATAGCAACCCTACAGGACAGGGTAGAACTGCCCCATAGGATTTCCAAGGCTGTATTCTTTACAGGAGCAGATTGCCACATTGTTTTCCATGGAGCAGCTGGTGGGTTCGAACTGTCGCCCTTACGGTTAGTAGCCGAGTGCTTAACCACTGTGCCAGCAGTTATTATCAGTACTGCACCATTACTGCAGAGGGAGAGAATGGAGACAGCACACACAGGAGGTCCTCCCCAGCCAGGGAGCCACGGGGGCTCCAGGAGGCTCCGGCCCAGCGGATGGTGGAAGAGACAGTTCACAACACTGTATCCCAACACAGGCAAAGGGACAGCCAGATGTTGCTTCTCTTTATTCCAAATCTAAAGAAGTTCCCAGGCCCCCTGGGAAGGGAAGGGCTTCCTGGCACACGTATATCCTCAGCACAGACCCACCTACCTTCTTCATGAGCATGTAGATGTGGGTTTGGGCAGCATCCAGCACGTAGCGGTGGGGATGCCTCAGCCCCTTGACCGTGATGTCCATGGTCTTGCCGTCTATGTTTATCCATCGCCTTGCCCCTGGGGCCAGGAATAGCCTGGGGTGGGAAGACAATGTCAGCAAAGGTAACTAAACCCAAGTTGGTTAATGAAAGGTTGTCAGCTGCTTGGAAGGGAGGGGTTGACCTGACCCAGGTTACCCAGGGTGGGGGTTCTTTTTAGGAGACAAGAAAGATTTTGCAAATAGTTAAAATGCTTGGCTGTTAACCAAAAGGTTCAAGGTTCAAGTCTACCCAGAGGTGCCTGAGAAGAAAGGCTTGGTGATCTACGTCTGAAAAATCAGCCATGGAAAACCCTGCGGAGCACAGTTCTACTCCGAGTTGACTCAGTGGCAACTGGTGGTGGAAAATTTTTAACAAGTCGTCAAATACCTTTTCCTAAAAGCAAGGGAACAGCCATGCTACTATTGGGAATGTAAATGTTTAACTCTGATGTTCCCCACCTGTAGAAGAGAAAGCAAAAACAAAGTGGGGTAAGCCCAGGACGGGTGCGTGCTGGCCATTAGGGTAAAGAATCCAGCCTCCAGCCTAATCTCTTCAGCCTCCTTACTCACCAGAGTTCCAGGGCCTAATCTGGAACTAGGTTAAGACAACTCCAAACAGGAGTTCCAGGGTCTCTACTCCCCCTTGGGTGCAGTCCAAGGGTGTTTAGTGACAAATCTGAAATACTGACTTGGGAGGCATCCCATAATTGCGACACCCGGAAGTTTGGGCATACAGGCCAATGCCCCCAACTAGAACCCAGTATCGACCTCCCTTCCTGAGTCCTTGGCACTCCTGGGACTTCCGGCACTAGGGCTCTCCCAATACTTTCCATATTGACTCACTGGAGGTTAGAAATAGTCATATGGGTACTTTCCTACCCTCCAAAGGAAAAGGTGAAAATTTTGGGAATTCAAAAGGAAGAGTTACGTAACCGGGGAACCAGGGAGGAAGGAGGCTGATGTACATGTGGAGGCAACATGTTCCTTGCAGCAGACTTTTGGAATTAGGAGCTGTGTGCGTGTCTTTGTGCACAAGGCAGCCGGGCACCCATCACTCTGGGGAAAGACGTCATGAGAGCTTCCTGGGCCCACAGAGTCCCCCCACCCCATTTCTCTTGGTGTGAGAGCCCCTCCCTGGGGGAGGAGGTGGTCAGTTTTGCACAAGAGTACAGGAAGCTCTAAGTATGAGAGCAAGTGAGAGCGCAAGCTCTTCCTTCAATGTTGCGAGCTCCTCTGAGGAAACTGGAATGGTCCAACCTGGATCCACTTAAAGGAAGGACACCAAAAGTCCAAAAGGACATCACACGTCTCACCAGGCTTTCTTCAGAGGAACCCCTAAACCCTCCAGAGCAGTGGTGAGGTGTTTATAGCACAGCTGGTACAGTGGTCAATGCTTCCAAAGCTCAGCCAGCCAACCAGGTGTGGCACTCGCCTTTCCATCTCCAACCTCAAACAAAACCCAGGGATGTTTCCCCAACCATCTGGCTAATCCTCACTTGTAAATCTCTTCCGCCTTCTCCTTGACCTTGGACTGATCTCCGTACTTCAGGTCCTCACAGGCTTCCCAGAATCCCAGATTCTCCCCTGCACAGGGAGGAGGGGGTCCATGCAGACAAAAGCCAGACAGGAAACAAGCGGGGAGAAGAAAAGAGGCAATAAAAGGGTCAGCTCGGATAGGTTCAGTTCCCCGGCCTGGGGAACATTGTTTCTTCTGCAAAGCAATCCAGCACACATGTGAGATTAGACAACATACTCCTTGAGGGAAGGAGCCACGGTATTTTCAGGAAAGCTCCATGTATTTCAGACTGGAGAAGGCTGGGCAATTCTAAATTAGTTGACATCTATCTGTAACTCCATAGAGGCTCTTCCTCTTCACCATGAACTTCAAGGTGTTCACAGGACTGGGATCCCTGGCATGAGTAAACAGCCAGCCAATTGTACATCAAGTATAATGCAGACCATCTTGCCCATAGCAAAAGTCAGTAACTTGCTGAGGGTTAAAATTAAAGAGCACACAAAAGCGTGTGCACAAATGTTCATAGATAGCAGCTTTGTCCATAATCGCCAAAAATTCAAAACAACCCAAACGTCCATCAACTGATGAATGGATAAACAAATGTGACACATGCATACAATGGAATATTACTCAGCCATAAAGAGGAATAAAGTACTGATATGTGCTACAACATGGATGAACCTTGAGAACATCATGCGAAGTGAAGAAAAGACAAAAGGCTACATATTGTAGATTCCATTTATATGAAATGTTCAGAATAGGCAGATCTATAGAGACAGAAGGTAGATCAGGGGTTGCCTAGGGCTGAGGGTCAGAGGTAGCGGTAGAGAGTGACTTCTAATGCGTACAAGGCTCTTTTGGAGGTGATGAAAATGTTCTGCAATTAGAAGTGGTGATGGTGGCGCACCTTTGTGAATATACTAAAGACCACTGAACCGCATACTTTAGAAGAGTGAATTTTAGGGTGTGTGACTTATATCTTATAGATTAAAATAATTTTTTTAATGTTTTAGATTATTTTGGTAAACTGGTAATTTACCTTCCCTGTTCATACCCGAAGCTTCAGGAGTCTTATGAAGAGGTTGACATTAATAGGGTTTTAATAATCCAGGGAAATCTTCTTGTTGGATTCTCACTATTATTAAGGAACTTGTGGGTGGGATAAGGAGTCCTCGGGTGGTGCAAAGGGTTAACACACTCAGCTGCTAACCAAAAGGTTGGAGGTTTGAGTCCACCCAGAGGCACCTCGGAAGAAAGGTCTGGCAATCTACTTCCGACAAACCAGCCACTGAAAACCCTATGGAGCACAGTTCTACTCTGACACACGTGGGGTCGCCATGGGTGGGAGTCAACTTGTCCGCAACTGGTTTTCAGCTGGAACGGGTGAGATAAGCTCAGGGTGCAGTTTGCCACTTGGCCACTAGATGGAACCATCCACTTGGTTGCCGGTTGCTTCCGGCCCATCCCTGTTCCATCCGTCTTTGCTGGGTTTTATTGTATCATGGCAATTAGGTTTGATTAGGGAGAAGGATTTTCAACAATCCACATCGTAATGTAACATTTTGCGACAAGTAGTCAAACCGGCTAGTCGTATGTCAAGTAGAATTAGTTTAGAGGCAACCCCGTAGACAAGTGGGTCTTGGCCGGCAAGCCGCTTGAGTAGCAAGGCTCAGACGGAATGCTCCACCAGGGCTGGGGACTCGATCCGGAAGTAAACGAATCCCATAAAGGTAACTATTTCAACGAAGGTGGTGAAGCTAATTGAATGTGCAGCCTAATGAACTTGGTTCTTATCTGGCCTCTTGGTTTTCCGAGACGGTACTCAGTGCTGTATAATCAAGAAGCCACAAGTGCCCGCCATAATGAGGTATGCAGAGGCGGGACATAAAATGTGGCCCTACCCATTCATTGCAATTCTCACATTCCTGAGGCCCTGAAGAAGTCAGGGTTAAAAGTAAATGAGCATACAAAAGCGTGTGCACAAATGTGCATAGCAGCATCATTCAAATGGCCCAAAAGTCAAAACAATCAACTGTCCATCACCTGATGGATGAATAAACTGGGGTATATCCATACTGATGGGGTCGCCATGAGTCTGTATCTACTCTGAAGGCAACTGGTTTGGCTTGGGTTTTTTTTATCCATACAATGGACTAAAACAGTGGTTCTCAGTCATGGCTGTGCATTAGAATTACCTATGGAATTTTCAAAACGTCACCGCTCCAACCCCAAACCAATGAAATGAGGTCCTCTGGGGCTGGGATGCAGGCAAACATATGTGTTAAAATATCCCCAGGTAGATCGAATGCGCAGCCAGAAAACCACTGGGCTTAAGGGAACAGGCCGTGAGAGAAAAGGGGAAAGAAAGCTTGCCTTTCGCGGGCCCTTCCTTTTAGGTTTCCCTGAGGAGCTGCCCTTGTGGGGGAGGGGGGCGCAGGACCAGCGAGCGCTCCTGGGCTGGTGGTCTGAGGATCAAGCTGACGAAGTAGGGGCGGCGCAGAGGAAAGGGCGCCTCAGAAATGTGGATAACGCCCACGCGGACTTTGAGCCGCTTGGATTTTTCCCCAGACTGTGGGGCCCCTTTGAAGCCGCGGAAAGCGTATGTCCTGGACTCCGCTGTGATTCTTAACGCGGTAAAAGGAAGCACCTGTTGCAGAGCACAAGCAAAGCTGTGGAAACATCTGTGGAGAAATCCCCAAAACCCGATAAAAAAAATTAAAAAACTTTCATTAAAAAAAAAACAAACAAAACTCACCGCTGAATTCTTTCTTGAGAAAGTACTGGAAACTCTGTCGGCCCTTGGGGTCTCGGATCAATTCGCTGAAGTTGAAGGCCCATCGTTCCACTCGCATCTTGGTTGGGATCTCCACCCTGCGGGGAGGGGAATTTGTAAATGCAAGGGACACTCAGTGCAGACGCAGGGTCTGAGCCAGGTGGCCGCTGGGTGGGGTGAGCAACTGTAGCCCCCCACCCTCCATCAGTCCTATCTATGGTCCAGGGCTCGATCCACCCTTCCCAATCCCTGCATAAACCTACAAGCCAAGTCATCACTTGCTAGGAGAATGCAGTCTCAAACAAGTCCCCTGGCCTCATTTCAACAAGGTTGCCATTCCAGAGGTGAGGACGCCGCCTGGGGCGGGGGTAGGGGGGAAGCTCAGCCTCTTGGCTGCTTCCTTACCGTCAGAGCAGCACAGTTGGCAAGGACAACCGTTCAAAATTCACAAACAGAGCAAAGGAGTGAGCGGTCTAATTACCAAGGCAGGTTTCCATCCCTGTTCTCCAGGAACTTATTTTTACTCTAATTAGATATCAAAATGCAAAGCTATAAAGATGATTTTTTTCTTTTCGAAAATAATATGTTGTTAAACATAGAGTTACCATCTGGCCCAGGAATTCCACTCCTAAGTATATACCCAAGAGAAATGAAAATATATGTCCACACAAAAAGCTGTATACAAATGTTCACAGCAGAACTATTCACAATAGCCAAAGGTAGAAACAACCCAAATGTCCATCAACTGATGTATGGATACACAAAATGTGGTATATCCATACAATGGAATATTATTCCACTATAAAAAGGAATGAAGTATTGACACATGCTATAAGACGAATGAGCCTTGAAAACAGATGCTAATGTAAAGTTTTTGCTAAGTGAAAAAAGCTAGTCCAAAAGACCACATATTGTATGATTCCATTTACATTAAATGTCCAGAATGGGCAAATATATAGAGACAGAAAGTAGATTAGTGGTTGCCTAGGGCTTGGGGGCATAGGGGTGTGATAGCTAAAGGATATAGGGTTTCTTTTTTGGGTGATGAAAATGTTCTGGAACTAGACAGTGCTGATGGTTACACAAGGAGCCCTGGTGGTGCACTGGTTAAAGCACTCAGCTGCTAACCAAAAGGTCGGTGGTTTGAACCTACCACCTGCTCTGCAGGAGAAAGATGTGGCAGCCTGCTTCCATAAATATTTCAGCCTTGGAAACTGTATAGGGCAGTTCTACTCTGTCCTATAGGGTTGTTAGGAGTTGGAATCGATTCTACGGCAATGGGTTTGGTTTTGGTTTGGATGGTAGCACAACTTTGTAAATATACTAAAAACCACTGAATTGTACACTTTAAATGGGTGGGATGTATGGCATGTAAATTATATCACAACAAAGCAGTTAAAAAAAATGTATTCAATACATACAGTTTGGCATTTAAATCCCAGAACTGGGTGTCATCTGTTATCCAGGGATTGCTGGGGAGGCAGCCTGACATGATGGCATCGTTGGAAGAGAACTGCTCACTGTACTTGACAATCCTGGAAAGTAAATGGAAAATGATTTCCTAGAAGTTCAACACCCAAGAGACTAAATCAACAGTCAGGTTGATTGACCAACCTGTTCTTTTCCTTTATTGATTCAGTTGCATAGTTATTACTGTCTTTTTAGAAACACCCTCTAATATTCCTTGGGTTTGGCAGGTATTTGACAAGATCTGCCCTTGTTCTAAGGAGCCTTGATGGCGCAGTTGTTAAAAGCAAAAACCAAAAAGATCAGCGGTTCGAACCCACCAGCCACTCCATGGGAGAAAGATGTGGCAGTCTGCTTCTGTAAAGATTTATAGCCTTGGAAACCCTATGTGTGGTTCTACCCTATCCTATAGGGTTGCTACGAGTTGGAATCGACCTGACGGCAAGGGGTTTGGTTTTTGGTTGGTACTTGTTCTACTTGTGAAACTAAACCTTCTCCCAATCCAGTCCCTTTGCAATTTCTCTGAACCTATTTCATTAAAAGATGGCCTTTTTACGTTTTACCGTGAGTTTTTAAAATCCAAAGCCCTGTCTCCCAAATAATGTCCTATTTGGATCAAGGTAGCCTAGAAGTTCAATATATCAAACGTAGATTTCCAGTTTCTTCTAATTGGCATTTAAATCGAAGATGAACAATAGACATTTAACAGTACACTAAGCAGTAAACATAACTCATATATCCCTAATAAATCAGAATGGTTAATGATAGGAACCAAGTCTATCTTGGATCCATGTAGGTTCCAATCTATGGACTCTCAATTCTTCCCACCTTCCCCATCCACATAAAAGTAAACTCCAAGGAAGATGACAGAACTTGTCAAGAACCTCACCCACCCCTGATTTTGTTGAACCCAAGATGAGATCTGAAGATTTATTCTGAGGGAAGATCTAGAAACTAAGTACATAAGAGACTGGTTTTGCTTTTAAGATCTTAAGTCAGTCCGTGACTCGTCAAGTTTGCATTAAAGGAGAAGGTCTCCTCTTGCTTAGTTATTGCTCAAACCTCAGCATTACCAACAAATCAGGGACATACCCTCCAAGAGACACCGAAGACTTCACCGTGGACCTCATCAAGGCCTGTTGGTAATACATGATCTGGAAGAGACACAGTTGTTAGAAGATGTCCAACTCCCCCACCCCGAGTGTCCCTGACACTGATATTTACATATGGACTCCAAAATTAGGGCCATTTCTCCATCACAACACTCCATTCCATCTTCTCAAGCCAGGCTCCTTAGTACCAACAGAGCTCATGTCCACTGTAGGCAGGTGACCGCAAACTCCAAATTAGTGGCCTCCTTAACCCATCATGTGATGGTCTGGGAAAGACACTAGCTGAAAACAAATGTTCTAATGAGCTTTAAGGAGTCCCTGGGTGGTCAATGGTTAACATGCTTGGCTGCTAACCCAAATACGGGAGGTTCGAATCCATCCAGAGACACCTTGGAAGAAAGGCCTGGTGATCTAGTTCTGAAAAATCAGCCATTGAAAACCCTATGGAGCACAGTTCTACTCTGACACACATGGGTTCAGAATCAACTTGACAACAACTGGCAAAAAATGAGCATTGAACCAAGACATCGGGGCAAAGGTTCGACTTTTCCCTCACGTGCCTGTGGTTGATGGAAGAAGAGTGGGCCCCACCACAGGCGACATTATCGGTCTTCCTGGTTCTGCAGCTTCTGCAAGAGTAAGCCATCCCCCTCCTCCACCACTTTCTTCCCAGGTCACATACCCACTGACATATCCCATCTCTACTATGCACACTCCCCAGGGTTCTATCTTAGCCCTCAAACCTAAGATGTGCCCAAACAGGTCATTTGCTCCCCTGGACAGACTTTTCGAGGCCCTGTAGTTGTAGGAGCAGGGGCCAGAGTGGGAATGGGACACGCTGCAGCAATCATGCCCACGTCCCCCTCTGATCTGTGTCTCGTCGGGGTGCTTCCCGATGGTGCTTCCTGCCCTGGGTCTCAGCATCAGCCCCGTTCAGATCTTACAAAGGTGGTTTGTCATTCTGTGCTGTCCATCAGTTTGGAAACAACTGTTTGAACATTTCACAAGGCTTCCGTTTCCTTCAAGAGTGCAGAGTATCCAGCCAAAGTCTATATAATTTGTTAGCAGATTTCCAATCAAACTTAGCTGGAATTTGGGAGACTAATTACCTCTTTTTTCACAGCTGTGATCGTTTGTTTCTGTAAAACAAAGAAGCAAAAACCATTAAACAGTTTTCATTGAATCACTACAGTTCAAATATCCATTTGAAAAACAAAAATCCTTCCCCATGAGAATACTGTCCGTCTTTTCCTACTTAAAAGGCAAGATTTCCCTTCACTGCTACCACCTCCACCCTTTTCTGCCAAACCAATGGAAAATGATATGAACTCAGAGATTTGGTGAGGGAAACCACACTGATTATTTGTTCCCATTTTCGGCTAACATAAGGCACTGCGTTAGCAGACGCGGAGCCCCGGCGGCACAACAGTTAAGAGCTTGGCAACTAAACAAAAGGTCGGCAGTTCGAATCCACCTGCCGCTCCTTGGAAACCCTATGGGGCAGTTCTACTCTATCCTATAGCGTCACTATGAGTCAGCATCGACCTGATGACGATGGGTTTAGCAGATACACATTTCAGGTAGAAAAGAATCCTGTGTCCAGAGCGGACTTGTATTCAAGCCCATAACTTCACACTGCTCTCCTAAAAGTCAAGAAGAATTAAAGACTAAGTTTGGGGTTGGTTCCACTTGACCGTAGCGCCTATAGAACTATCTTAAATGGAATGAGAGATGAAGATAGGGAAACTAGCGTGAAGCTTGAGTGTCTGCTTCTTCTCTCACAGGGGAGAGCTATGAATGAATGAATGGTGAGATTCATTCCTCAGGTATTTATAACAACTTGACTAATACCACAAGTTGAAAGAAAAAGCTACGTTGCCAAAAATGAAGTACACGATTAAAAAACTCAAGGCCAGCATCAGCTTCCAGCTGAGTCCCGGGGCTGAGCTGCAATGTGGAAGGTCAAGTTTATGCTGGGGATGGGCGGCAGAGTGCTCTCTCTCTCTGAACCCTTGGAGCTATGGCAGAGAAAGGATAGCTCCAAGAGGGACCAAGTTTAGGCTCTTAGAAGCTCCTGGCAGATCTGTCTTCTACTAAAATACATAGATCTACAATCCAAGAGGGACGCACTTCTTGGCATCACTTTTCTGCTCTGTGCAGCTCTTTGAGGTCAGGCACTGTGGTGATTCCAGTCTCAGTTCTCTTAGGTTTCGTTGTGTCCAGGGGCTACTTTGTGCTGACTCTTATACTCCGAACTGAGTATCTTAATTCCTGAGTGCTAACATCCACATGAGGAGTCCCTAGGTGGAACAATGATTAACATGCTTGGCTGCTAACCAAAAGGTTGGTGGTCAAGTCTATCCAGAGGTACCTCAGAAGAAAAGCCTGGTGATCTACTTCTGAAAAATCATCTATTGAAAACTCGATGGAGCACAGTTCTCCTCTGACACCCATGGGGTCGCTGTGAGTCGGAATCGACTTGATGGCAACTAGTTGGTCTGGTTAGTTGGAATATTCAGGCTACTTAATGCAACCAAGTGTTCACTTGGAATAGAGTCAGAAGCTTGAGGTGGACACTCACTACTTCCCTTAGCCCGTTAGGAAAATAAGCATTGGCCCATGTCCATTGACAAGAAATAAAGGAGAGACCAATCTGAAACGTCACGTTCTCACCTCTCCCTTCTGATCCACACACGAGCTCATTTTGCTTCATTGGATTGCTTTTACGTAATTGCTTTTCACAGGAAATCTTTTTCTGAAGGGTCCGGGGTGGGGTTAGTAGGGAGAGTTATCTCCGAAAGGTAAAGCTCAGATAGGCCTCCCTGTTTTGGTCTGTCACATACCCTGACTTCCTCTGCAGCACTTATCATGACTGTAATTATATATTTATTACGGTTAAATATATAATTTGACTCTTTGTATAATGTATGTGTCACCCACTAGGCATCTTTTAGGGCAGGGAAACTGTGTCTATCTTGTTGGCTTCTGTATTCCCTAGCGTAGCACCTCGTGCAGATATAGATACTTCAATAAATATTCAATAAATAATGACTGTGCTTGGAAGCCTAGAAAAATGGAGATGTTTTCTAAGCTTATTAGAGCATTTTTCCATTTAAAAAACTGAAAACACTACCGAAATGAGTCAAATATTTTGGCAACCACATTGATTATTTGTTCCAGTTCTCTCCCAACATAAGGCACTGCTTTAGCAGACACGTGTCAGGTAGAAAAGGATCCTGGGACCAGAGTGGATTTGCATTCAAATCTAATATAAGTAGATCCTTCTCTTAGAGTCGTGCCGGAGTAGATGATTCAGAACAGCATCTACTGGTCTGTGCCCTCTGCTCAAAGGGGAAGCTGGATTTTTTGCACGATAATAACTGCCTAGAACTCACCCAGGGGCTTCTCGGGAGAAAGACCAGGCCATCTGCTCCCCTAAAGATTACAGCCTAGAAAACCCTATAGGGGCAGTTCTACTCTGTCACATGGGGTCCAAATGAGTTGAAATTAACTTGACGGCACCCGACAACAACTAGTAGGAGTCCCTGGATGGCACAAATGGTTAAGTGCTGGACTACTAACCAAAAGATTGGTGGTTCAAATCCACCCAGAGCTACCTCAGAAGAAAAGCCTAGCAAACTGCTTCTGAAAGGTCACAGCCTTGAAAACCCTATGGAGCAGTTCTACTCCACACACATGGGGTCACCATGAGTCAGAACGACTGGACAGCAAATAATACTAAGCAATTTACACCTCTTTCAGTGGTTTTCCAAGGCTGTAAATCTCTACGAAGCAGACTGCCACATCTTTCTCCCGAGGAGCTGCTGGTGGTTTCAAACCACTGCCCTTTCCGTTAGCAGTCGATCGCTTTTACCACTGCACCACCAGGGCACCTTGTTTCAACCTTTATAAGACTTAAAGGAGGAAGGTCTTATTATTGTGATTTCCTGCTGAGGAAACGGAGGCTCTGATAGGTTATGGGAACTTTCCCAACGTCTCCTGGTCAGGAATTGGCTAAAATCAGGATTCAAACTCAGCTCTGCTTCATTCCAGTGCCCTTGCACTTGAACGAAATGACCCTGTCTCTTTCTTTGCAAAGCTGAGGATCGATCCACGAGAAACATAAATAATTGAACCTATTCACTGTCTCCAGCCTAGCCTAGTGTTTTTACCACTTCCTTCCTTGGCCCGAAGCTGAGAATGCTGCAGGACAGAACGGCTCTGTCTGATCATTTAAAGTTCAAACAAATGGAGGGGGAGCGCCCCCATCACAAGATGCAGTGCAAACATGGGACACCCTCTAATTAACACTCACGGCAGTAAAGATGGCAATCATACCCGGGACGTGGTCAACAGCCAACATCATCAACGCCCTCTTTCAAAGTGTCCAGGACCCAAGAACAAACTTCCTGTGGGTCCCTGCCCTGTGGCTTGCATGTGTGGGGCTCCTGATTGGACAAACACAGTTGAAGTGAGTGGGACTTCTCAGTCTGTCCTGGTGCTCGCTGGGCTCCAGGGGGCGCTGTACTCACAAGTCACCATCACATTTCTACCTCTCTTGACTTCCCTTTGTTTGGCCTAGTATGTTTGCTTCTGGGGCCATTATCCCCATCTTCAGGGTTTTGTTTTTGTTTCACTTCTTTTTTTTACTTCATTTGATTTTATTACCTTTTTAAGGCCTTGCATCTGGTGTGCTTTGCTGTTTATTTTCTGATGCCCAGAATGAGTAGTGACCTTCTGGGAATCAGACCGTAATGAACTCATTCCAACAGCAGGATTCAGTTGTGCCTGCATCTTCCCCACCCCTACCTTGGATCGTCCATGTGAATTTTAGTTCTTATTACTAGTTTTTAAAACAGCTGTCCCCGGGACCAGCTTCCTCTAGACTGACATACAGGGTATGTCTCTCTTTCTAGCGGTATTTGTGTATTGGGTCAGTATGGGGAGAAGATTCTGGACTTTTCTAAAAGACAGAGAGACGATTTGATCCCTGAGGGGAAGAGTGGTTTAGGAAAGCGTAGGCTTCGAGATCAGACCAAGGTCAAAATCCTGGTTCCATCACTTATTGGCTATATGACCCTGAACAAGTTATTTAGCATCTCGAGGCCTGTTTCCACACTTATAAAAGGATAGAAAAGGGGATTAAATGAAATAATAGACGTAAGGTGTCTGGAATATAGCAGAGATTCAATATACAGTTGCTATTAATTAGGGTTAATGTACTGCTGCCGAGAACGTGCATGGTATGATTTTGACCCTAATTTCCAGACAAAATACAGGATACACATGCAATGTTTGAGACATACTTACACTAAACAATTCTTCATTATTTATCTAAAATTCAAATTTAATTGGGCATCCTGTATTTTTATTTGCTAAATCCAGCAAACCTACTACTAATATTATTATTACAAAGGCCACAACAAACATTATTTTAAAGTAAAATTATTAAAAAACACATATATATGTATACATCTATGTACATAGATGTATACTGTACACATATATAAACAATATATACATGTATAAACACACACACACCCTTCTAAGCCATTCAGAGAAAACCACTTCAAATAAACAGTTTCGTCCTGGAATTCATATGTAAGTTGCCTCCTTTCTCCACACTTGGCCCTCCTAGGGTGAAGCCCATTTCTTTATTCTTCCTCAGAGTGACACACTTTGCTACAGCAGGAAGACTCTGCTTAAGGACTCTTGGATGCTCCGAATTCTTGGAATTCTCACAGCTTATTATTTTCTGTCGTCGTGGAGTTGCTCAAATAGGGACACGTCTAGAGCTTGTTTACACAGCTCTGTGGCCATCCTGCTGGCCCCAAAACTCGGATGGAGGCTAGCTGCAGGCAGACGTTGAGACAGGGCAGGAAAGATCAGGGATGATTGCGGGGGTCATGGCCCTGAGGGGCCCTGGGGCCACTGCCAGACAGACAGACAGGAGGGCAGGAGCCCAGGGAAGGGATAAAGCAAGGACTCTGCGGCCAGGTGCCAGGCAGGAATCTGCACGAATCAACAGAGGTGGAAGATGGGGCCAAGCATCAGAATGAAGCCCAGGTGGGAGAACCTAGAGGAGTCAGCCGCCCAGGCACTGAGGGCAGAGAGAGGGTCAAAAGTCAGAAACCAGGAA